AAAAAATAGTAATATGTTGTCTTGCCCTAAATATACAAAAAAAAAAAAAATCTAAGAATTTGTACATTTAATTTATGGCCTGATAATTCTCAAAAAACTCTAACATTTCCCATCAAACTTCTAATGACAAAGCAAAGCCAATAGAAATGGGGAACATGGGCATCCCTGTCTACATGGTCTTTCTAAGACAAACGATTGTGAAAGAAATCAACAAAAATTATGGGAAACTCTCAAAGCTGAAAAATCTCTCAATGCAAGATAGGCTGCAAAGTCTTCTTATACAAAATGTGAATCACCGCTGTCTCAGACTGCCCTGTGATCAGTAATTTCTAAATAAGAGCTCATTTCCCATCTGACTGGCACATTATCATCCCAAATCTGTTATGGCTGCCAGATGCCGGATTTTCATGAAATTCCAATGAGCTGTATTTTACAAATTTACATACATTTAGCCTGATTAACCCTCCAGAATTAATTCCTGAGTATACAGAAATGATTCTGGCAGGCAGAGAGAGAAAGGAAGATCAATGTTGATGAATTAAAACAGCTGAAGATGTAGAGGTGTTATCTACATATTCTGCAGCATTTTCTGTAGCACTGAGCGTGTTTGATGCTAAAAGCTTATGGCAGATAAGACACTATCTGTAAGGTGCTTCTATTTCCAGAATAATTATTGGAAGATTATTTTTAATAAAATGGATGACTTTGAGTCTTGTAAAACAACTTTACTAAGCAGAAATTTAAATGAAAAAGTTTAATTTACGAAATCATGTTTAAATCTGAAAGTAGCTGAGCGAATGCTTAGATAATCTTCATTCTCCTTTCTGTCCCCCCGAGTATCTGGGACGGGAAGTGCTTTACCTGCATGTCCAATCACATCAGACTGAGTGAAACTTTACCTAATCTAACCATCAATTGAACAGAAAGATATTCAGTCTAATGCGTATCTATATCGCTCTGTTACATTTGTTCAGACGTGATGATTTTGACCTGTCAGTCTTAAAGGATGTTCCAGATTCAATACAAGTTAAGCTCTTTTGATGGCATCTGTAATGAGGATTTAACTGCAGAAATGTGAAGCTTGCATTTTGTTAAAGCACTTTTTTTAATTTCAATACAATGTTTTTCTTTTGCATTTACAAATGAGTGATGAGTGAGAATAATTTTGAAGAATCTAATCTACATTAAGCCAAGAGATGATGTAAATAGAGCTGAACTTTTTTTTTTAAAACCTGAAACATTTCTTTAAATAAATTCATCTTTGTCTCTGCATTTTTTGTAATACTCTCTGAAAACAAATTTAACTACTGGCTTCAAAATACCAAAGCATACATGTTCTGTTTAATCATATTTCAACAAGATCAATACTATATTTAAAGGGGTCATATGATGTTGCTAAAAAGAACATTATGGCCTAGAGTGAGCGGCGGCGGCCTAGATGAGCAGAGGCTGGGGGCTAGAGTGAGCAGAGGCCAGTGGGCTTGAGAACGGCGCGGCCGGCGGATTCGACGAAGGAGCATCCGGAGGGCTTGCGACAACCACATGTGACAACCCCGGGCTGGAGTCCGTTTCGTCCACGGTGAAAGCCGATCTAGCGATCCACAGCGCAAAGTTGTTGTATTTCCTCAGCAACCAGCATGGATCAGCTCTAGGCTCTAGGCATAACGAAGCGGATATCGTCCTCTTTTGGAAGGCCAAACAAAGTAGTTTCGCTTTCACAACGATACACACAGCGCTCTTTTTTTGTTTTTCATTATTCCAAAAATAATGTTTTATTATAGTTAATAATAGCAATAGTTAACTGTATGTATGCACTGGTGATTTAACCCTTCTCTTCTGAAGATCCAGTGCAGCTACACAGGGTCAAATTGACCCCGTGTGACAAATCACAGCCTAATAGTCACAATCTGCTGTTTGTGACTGAATGTGTATGCAAGACAGGTGACAGTAAAGCATTTACACCGCCACTTTCAAATCACATCTGTGGAAGACATTTCAGGTTGAAATGCCGTGTTAAAAACTGTGTTACAGGAATAGTTTTTTTCCCCCCCAGAAGGCTCTGTCATCAATTACTCACCCTACACATTGTTCAAAAGTTGTATGAATTATTTCCATTGAACACGAAAAGGAGAAATTGTGCTTAACAGTGCTTATCGTACTTTCCTATGCATTTCCCATTACATTCAACAGGGACCAAAGCCTTCAAGTTTCAAAAAAGGATGCAAAAGCACACTAAAATAGTCCATGTAAGTTTCTGATCCATATGATTCTTTTGTGTAACAAAATTTAGATAATGGTTCAGCAAATCAAATGGTTCAGATTAATGAACGAATCCTTCTGACCAGTTCTGTGCACTGGATCAGCTGCTTCATTGTAAATGGAATGATTTGACGACTCATAAATCAGATATCACTGCTTCTTTCATGAACACAGTAGGGTGAATCTAAAGATTTTCAGTAAAGAATTACTCAAATTGCGGTTCCACACAACCTTTTAGAAGGTTGGAAGACACTACATGACTTTTAAAATCTAAACACATTTTAAAACACTAGGCCTCATCCAAAGAAAAAGGAAAAAAATTATAATAATAAATTCCGTTCATTGTAATTACATGGAAAAGAAAGACCAGCACAGGCAACAGTATATAAATCAATCCTTTTTGAACTGGGTCAAAAATACAGCGACAGCATGGAAAACCCATAAACCAATATATTGATCTGAAGAACCTATAATTTAAGAAATGTAAAAAAGATATTTAAAATCTGCAAAGCAGCATATCACCAACACAATCCAAATATGCCAAATATACCAATATACCAAATGGTTCTTGATAAGAATACAATGCATTGAACCTAAAATGCTACAAAAACCTCTGAATAACCTTAATTTGTGTGTTATCAAAGGGTCCGGAAGGTGAAGTTCTTAAATCAACATGTGTGCTCTTATCATGTTTCATTCAGTAACAGCCTCTGATACGCTCATGCATAATAGCAGCAGCTGGTATGGAGGCATTACTCTACGTTAGTACCACCAAAAGCCTTTCAGACCTTATTTATTCAGTCATCCTTTAAATGAATACAGTCAGAAAGGTGTCCACCCCTACGACACTAATGTATCTCTACACCTCTCACTCTCAAGCAAGTGTGGATGGCACTAAGCCACATTTGGTGCTCTAAGACTGGTTTAACAAAAAAGGAAAAGAAAACTCTCATGTGAACTACATATGAATTACAGTACAGGAACATATGAACAGATGTGCACATGTCAATGTGAACCGCTCCATAGATACATCTTCGTAAAGCTATAAAGCACCACCATATGTGGAATTGATGAACGTTCCTGAACATCTTATTTGCATGTTGGAGATAATCAAATGCATGAGAAAACTGTGTGACCGTAAACTCTGATGGGCCACATGTTTTATTATACGTAATAAAATGATGATATATTGGACCTCTGAGCGTCTTTACTGCGAGACGCAACAGCGCTTGAGGGATGTTGGTTCACATGCTGTAGGACTCTTTCTACTGCCTAATTCTTCTGATAAGCTAGCTTATCACACACTGCAGATGGGTCCATTTAATTCATGCCATGGCGAGTTTATTTTATTTTTTTACATATATTTCACATTTCATCCTCCCTGAAATGCATTTCTGCAAGGTTAAGCAGAACTGTGCCTGGAAGCTAGGAGCATTTCAGCCTGAAATGGATGTAGGAGGGAATGTTTATTTGGAGAAGGGTTAAATGAGGTCACCTTAAGATGGCTGAGCTCATTAATAGCATCACTGGTAGAGAATGGGATGTCCCATCTCAGGTACTGAAATGACAAAAGGGCGTTTTAATAAGCAAACTGACCTTTAGATCTATAGCCTCACCAGTATATTTAGATAACTGCTACAATGGCCTAATTACAGACACAGTATAGAAGTAGAAAATGTTAGCTTAAAATCCCAATAGTGTGGGTAATATGCTAGCAAAGTACATCTAATATTTTACCATTTTGTGTGTGTGTGCATATGTGTTTGATTGTGCCATCTTTTTTATCTAATGCAATGGTTTATACATTTTTATGTGTCCAAATATTCCAGGATCAATACAAGTTAAGCTAATTGACAGCATTTGAGGTATAATTATTACTAGGGGTGTAATGGTGCACAAAAAAGATGGTTCAAAGGTCACGGTTTGGTATGTTTTTGGTACAGCAATATATATTTAATTTAATTTAAAGCAGTTTACTGAATAAACTCTGATTATGCTGTTGTAAATGGGGTAAGGGATTTAGAGTTCTTCCAATTTTGAATGCAAAATATTTAAGCAAAATGTATCTTTTAGTCAGAATTAACATGCTTCCATTCTATTGTTGCACTTTCATTCTATTGCTCCAAACTGTATGCTGAGAATTTAAAATGCTTAATATAACACGTTTACTCACACTAACATAATATAAACATACATTGTCTGCATCTTGTGGCCACTGTATACTATTGAAACAGTATGTTGATGTTTACAGATTGGCTACATTTACTTCTATTGAAAGAGCTTCACTGTAACCCAGATTTGTGCTTTTATTAAGAAAAGGATGAACATATGGAAATTAATTCTTGTTGTAACCAATGTTGTGAGACAAATGCTGTCAAATGAGCTTAACTTGTATTGGACTCAGAATATTCTTGTAAGGGCATTGTAGTAAAAATAAATAAATAAAATAAATTTGCCTTTAATTTGAAGGAAAGTCAAGACCAGACAGAAAAGTAATGGGAGAGAGAAGCAAAATGGATACGACACGGGATGAGACTGGATTTCATCCTGTTTTCCCCTTGAGCACAACAGGCCCAAGCATGAGAATTTCAGCTGTGCAGTTTTTAAAGCTCTGTGCATTCCATATAGAATAGAATGTAATTTGAAGTGTGTACTTTTTTAAAATACTGTTAAAAAAATCTAACCTAGCAATCCTCTATTGTAATGTAGAATAGAATAGAATAGAAGCATTAGCATCTAACCTTTGCTTTGAGCCCATGTGTAGCTGATTGGCGCACTCCTGGTCAATGGTAGCTGCTCTCCTCTTTCTATTACTGGCATCCTGTTATCTAGAATTGAATCCTTAATGGGACGAATATGCTTCGGCAAGGTTTTGTAGAACCAGGCTCCAGAACGTTTCCATACCTTTGAAGAGCAAGGAAAAGGAAAACAAATTTAGCACAGCTCAGTATGAAGTGATTTAAAGCAGGTACTTACTAAACATAACATAACATATAACATAACATAACATATACTTATATACATATACAACAAATAATAATAAATTAATACTAGTAATTTCCAATTTTTATTTATTACTAGTGTTCTTATCATTACCAAACTATTAAAAATTGACAGAACAAAAAAATGTTGGTAACTGAAATATAGCTGAAATATTAAATGTATAACTTAACTGGAAATGCTGCCTTGTCAACTAACTAAAATAAGTTTAAGTACAAAAATTACTAAAACTGAAATAAAAATAAGGCTAAAAATAGAAATATTAAAATAACAACAGCACATAATATTACTAATAAAAAATGAAAAATTAGAATATAAAAAATAAAAGGTAAATCAAAATAATAATACTATAATAAATAAATACATTCTAAAATAACACCGTTTGATATGACCGTACCTTTAGATATCTGAAAAAATTCAGGAACTGCTTATTTCATTTGTTGTATTGTTTTTCTTCTATTGCAATTTGTTTCTTTGTCTTTTTGTTACTGACTGTCGCCTTGAACTTAGAGCTATATATATATATATATATATATATATATATATATATATATATATATATATATATGTGAAATATGTGACGACAGACAGAAATATATATATATATATATATATATATATATATATATATATACGAGTAATATGTGAAGCCGGAAACATTGGTCAATCACAACAACAACAATCACAGCAATGGAAGACGAGGACATGCAGAATGGGTGGTAGGAGTATGTGAGAAATATGTTTGGAACCTTTCACTATCTTGCCAGTTCCATTTGGTGCTTTAATGGAGGTCTATTCAATATGGTCGAAAAATAGTTGTGCTCATTCGTATCCATTGCAAACCACAAAACCCAACAGACAAGCAACAGCAAAATCCAGCCATTCACTGAATCGGTGCCATGACTTTCAAGGCAGTGGCACTTAATCAACTGACACACACCAAAAATTTTAACAATCCTTTCATAACACATTACCCCTGTGAAACAAACACCGAAATGCTCTGGAGGTGTTCTGAGCACACTACACTCTGGTGTCAGTCACTCTCATGGTGACATAACAACGAGAGGCCAGGCCCTGCTGTAGCCAGGAAGACAATTAAGAAGTGATGGACAGCAGGCTCTGAAATGTCAGGGCTGTCAGCTGCTGGAGTCTTGGCAGAGACCATCTCTCAACTGTACCTGATCAGTTACCATCTCCATTTGCACAACCACTGACCAGACAAAAAAATGCAGATTTAGCTTACAGGGTCAATCACATAATATTAGATGGCCTTCCCTGTTTTGCATTGGATTTCACCTCTTATTTTCTGTGCATGTTTGATGCACACATCAAAATCTTTGAGCATACAGTAGATGAAGCTTTTGTGTTTAGTGCAGAAGAAGTCAAAAGAAACAATTTTATATTCCCCAGGGCACCACTATCTGCCACCCAGCAAGGGGAAAAAGTGCATTTTAAAATTACTAGTGCAATCAGTTCATTCACAGTGAAAAAATAACTTGTACAATCATGAATAAAGGGTGTGAACAGTCATTTTCCCAGAACTGAGTTTTATCAGTGGGAGATAACCTGTAATTTAGAAAAATTATCCACTTTTGAAAGTGGAATGAGTGAATGCCATGAAAACCAGTCTGGAAAGTCTGTTTTTGCTCCTTGTGAGTGTACAGCCCCTTCGTTTTTATAGTTGTATTCTGATTCAGAGTGGAAAAAGAATACATATATACTTTGTACTTGGAAATAACACAACATAAACCTGCTAAAAATAATATACATTTAAGCTCTTTTTATGTTTTTTGAAACTGCGAGATTAAAGAGAGGTAGATGTAAATTGTACTGACCAAAGAAAACTTTCCTTTGATACTAAAGTGGTACAATTCTCCTACAGCCTTTCCGTTATTATAAGCTCCAAATCTTCACTGATAGTGAACTGAAAGACATTATAAATGCACATTACACAATAACACGTGCAATAAATGACCACAGCGGAAAAATGTAAATGCAAAATTAGCTTCCTGTGAAACATGATGGCATTAAATTGACTAGACGTTTGCCAGACTTCAATAAGAAATATTTCATCTTCCAAATTACTATTTAAAAAAAGCAATCAAGCACAGGAGTCGACGGTCTAATTTTTTGTTAAAATACTCCTTTCCTAGCCTAATATGCAGAGACAACTGGGTCACTCTACAAAATGGGTGTCATTTGGGTCTGTCAAGTATAGGGTTGGGAATCGAAAATTGATTCCGATTCCAGAATCGGATACTTAAGGGTCAGGAATCAGATACTTGTTGTCAAATTAAAATGTGGATTCCGCCTATCAATTCCATTTTTTTTTCTTCATCTGTGAGGACCGGACCTAGCGATCTGCCAGGACCTTGCTCGCTAATCTAAGCGCTCCAAAGTTTGGCTACATTTGCGATCAGAAGCCAAAAAGCCAAGTATAATATCTGTGATAGCAAGAGAGGTATCACCACCAACATGACAAAGCACTTTAATTTAATAGATAGTTAAAGATCGCGAACACGATTCAAACACCAACGTGATTCTATTCCTAAATTACAATGATTTGTCGGTTTCATTCCTCAACCTTTGACGTGTGCGATCAATGTTGTGATCACTTGGTTCGTCCGTGCAGCGTACAATCACACCAGTGTGATTTGAACATTTAAATTGGCATTCGCGCTGCCACTGACCTAAAGAGAGCAGCTGTCTGTCATGAATGAAACAGCTTCACAGTCTTTTCAGCCACACAGTATCATTATTTCTGTTTTACAAACATTCAAATCACAGAAGTACTGGGATAAAAGTTTATAGTTCAGATATAAACTGTGTATGATGTGTATGTTAGCAATTAAAATAGAGTAAATCACCTTTTGAAAGTAATTTGACACTTCAAATGAAGATTTATCGATTACATTGTTACACCAGTAGGTGGCGAAAAGGGGCTGTTAAAATGTATGTCTTTGAATCATACAAGAGGTTCGTTCAAGAACGCGGCAGTAGCCCCTCACTGCAGAACACAAGATCCAGGGGGCCTGATTGGATCCACATCTAGGGGTGGAGATTGGTAGGTTTAGGGGTGGAGATGGGTGGGTTTAGGGATCAGAGGGTGGAGATGGGTGGGTTTAAGTATATGTAAGGTGGGAGGAGTTGGATCTGTATCTAACCACGCCCCCTGGATCTTGTGTTCTGCAGCGAGGACAATCTTGAACGCGGATTCATCCAGTAATAAAACAAGCACATCTTGAGTGAGTCATTTAATCATTAATTCATAAATTACATGTGATTGTTTAGTTGTCTAATGTTTTTTCTTCAGAATAATGAGAGAACCACAACTTACATTGGGAGAAAAAAGAAGAAGAAAAAAAACTCAATTTATCCAGAATCATGCAGTTCTATTTTGCACACAAACAGCTTTTAAAGAGTCCAGTTTTTATGTAGCCTGTTGATTTTTGTTCATGGTATTCAGCTCCAATAAATGGTTTTCAAAAAAGAGACACAGGATAAATGTTTGATATCATTATTTAATCACATTGGAATCGAAACTGGGAATCGAAAAGAATCAGAATCGATAAGCAGAATCGGAATTGATAAAATTCAAACGATACCCAACCCTAGTCATGTATTCACCTTATTTTTCACGTAAGAACAGCCGCAGCCATTTGTAAACTTAAAGGGTTACTCCACCCCAAAATGAAAATTTTGTCATTAATCACTTACCCCCATGTCGTTCCAAACCCGTAAAAGCTTAGTTCGTCTTCGGAACACAATTTAAGTTATTATTATTTTTTCCCCCTCACTTTATTTACAAATTTTCAAGTATTACAAATTTTTTCAATATTTCAACAACACAGTTTAAATAACATTTTAACACTAGGTATAAAGAAAAGGGATCCGAATAAGAAATAGGAGACTAAGAAACTATCAAAATAACAGATACAATCAATTATCCCCCAAGTAGTAAAGCGCAATTAGTTATCCCTAAAAAAAAACACAAATTACCCTCAGCAACCCCCCACCCCACCCAAAAAAAATAAAAAAAATTTAAAAAATACCAAAAAATAAATAAATAACACATTCTGCACTTGTGCCAGTTAGTAAGAGAAAATTAAACACTACTTAATACAAGTGTGGTCACCAACTAGGGGGAAATTGAATAAAATCATTATTTTCAGTTGAACAGGGGGGTATACGTTTCCATATACTCAAGAAAAGAGCCCCAAATTTTATAAAAGTTCTTTGAAGAGCCCTTCAGTGAATGTCTAATCAATTCCAGTTTGATAAAGTGAAAAATCTCTTTAATCCAAGGGCGTTCGTATCTGGGGAATAAGGTGGGAAGTTGATTCCTGCCTTAGCTGAAGGGCTAAAAGCCTACCTGCTTTGTCACTCTCTTCATAATACCTAGACTTAGTTCTAAGTAATACATTTTCTGCATGACTTGTTGAAAGAATATCAAACTCTGCCTGTAATGACTGGCGTTCCTTATAAATATCTGGAGACAGGAATTTAAGTTATTTTGGATGAAAACCGGGAGGCTTGTGACTGTCCCATTGACTGCCTAGTAAATTACACTGTCAAGGTCCAGAAAAGTATGAAAGACATTGTCAGAATAGTCCATCTGCCATCAGTGGTTTAATCGTAACATTATGAAGCGACGAGAATACTTTTTTATGCAAAGAAAACAAAAATAATGACTTTATTCAACAATTTGTCTCCTCTGTGTCTCTCCGCAATCACTGTAGCGCTATTTTGGAGAATAACCACTGAACGCAAGCAGCGTACGCTATTCTAAAATAAGGTGGATATGTGTAGGGGGAAAAATTCATCATTCAGTAATTGTTAGTTATTATGTTTTCCCTTTTTACAGTAAACTACCTAATCCATGAAATAAAAAAACAACAACTTTA